CAAACAAGGGCAGGAAATCGGAACAGGTGGGTGGAGGACAGGTGAGTCTGACCAAAAATGGCAATCAACTTGACCAATCATCGTACCAATGCTCCCTCTAGGCATGTTGCATAATGACATCCACGCCCTAGTACAAGGATGCTTCGTGCATGAACCATGTCCTCGGCTATTTGCACAATCGCCTCGTCTTTGCGCAGAATGCAGTCGACTTGTTCTACAGAGACACCATTCACTCTCATCTTTCAAGTGCCTGTAGAGAGGCCAACCAACAAAGTGAGAAAACCAACTCACCTGGCAACCGACTAAGTGCTTCGATAATCTCCTTCCTTCGCTCCTGCAGTGAGATTCTATCGGCGGACAGAATCAGAGCAAACATCACCAAGGCGATGATTTGACTAGTGTAGGCCTGAATTAGGTCAAAGGTAAGGAGCATAAGCAACTCCCCTACGTGGTGACAAATCTCCTCACCTTCAGCCACGTATCGACATTGGACACCACTTCACACTTACCTTTGTGCTGGCCACACCAATCTCCGGCCCTGCATTCATGTGAATGCCGCAATCCGTCTCCCTCGACAGTGTCGATCCCGCCGTGTTGGTGATGCCCATTGTCATGGCGCCCCGTTTGAGACAATACCTCAATGCTAGGAGCGTATCCGCCGTCTCGCCAGACTGACTGATGAACACGCACACGTCATCGCGGAATACGGGCGTGCGACGATCGAGAAAATCGCTTGCCAACTCCACCATCACCGGTAGTTCGGTCAACTCCTCAATTAACTCACGAACGGCGATTGCGGCGTTGTAGCTCGTTCCACACCCAATCAGCATCAGTCGGCGACTCCGCATAATGTCCACAAGGTTGTTCTTGATGCCACCCAACAGCACTGACATGTCGTTGAAGTTCACACGTCCGCGCATCGTGTTGAGGATGGATTCGGGTTGCTCAAATATCTCCTTCTGCATAAAGTAATCGTAGCTACCTGTATGAGAAAGATGCAT